TTCAAAATGGAGGACTAAATGAAATGAAAAATTGTGTGATTTAGTAAATGATGAAACGACAGCTTTACTGGTATCTTAAGAGATGGTGGACGGATTAGGTACAATAGGGAAACCTTACTGTGAACGTTGTCTTATACTGCACGAGGTTTCGAAACTTAGTAATTTGGCGCTCATACTGAACAGAGTATGGAGACAACCCGTTTCATTCTTATACCGAGCGGGGTATTGAAGTTTAGTGGTTTGACGCTCATAGTGGATGGAGTATGGGAATAGTCCTTTAATTGATAATGTTGAAGGAAAGAGTTCACGCGTAGCGGAGACATACTTATGAACCCCCATGAATACCAGTAGGCCGATAAAAGGAAAGATTGTTGTTTGATTTATTGAATATGGATTTATAATGTGTGCCTATTACCAATTGCATATGGAATCATGATAAGTGTTATGTTATTGTCTCTATAGGTTACTTTTATAAATCTCGTTGCGGTAAGTAGATGGTAAATGGTTGTATTATTAATAAATGTATTTGTTTAATTAAGTGCTCAATTAGTTATTTTAGTTTTTTACCAACCTTCATTTCTATATCGATGAGTAGCGTGATATTTTTACTGGGATAGTATAGCTCATTCCTTATTTAACTATTTCAGATCAAAAGGACCAGAATGCAGAGCCCAATCCAAAGAGGGTTGCGAGTAGAATACCAGTTTTATTTATTTTCTATTTATTTCTTTATTTTTTTTTGTTTTTCCTTCAAAAGATTAATTTCAATAACACTATTTAGAACTTTAAAATTATGTATAAAAAATATAAATCTTAATTATTTATTTCACTTCCGCATTTAAGTTATAATTTATTTATTTGGACATTTCGAAATCGTTACACTTATTAAGTTTAATTTATCAATTTATTACTGAAATATTTTAATCAAAATATAATTTAAAATCTCATTTAATAAATAAATCAATCCTACAATTCTATTTCTCATTTGGATTTGTCTCTTCAGAATTTTCAAGAACCAAAAACTATCATTAATGCCCTTGTCTTCAGGATTTTCAAACAGCAAAAATTATGATTGATATAGAACTTGTAAGTAATATGCTAAATAAACCATAAAACAGTTTTAGAAAAAAAAAAAAAAAAAAAAAAGAGCCGAATGCACCTAAAGAAGAAAGCTAAACGTTTGCCATTCTGTTCAATTAACTCTCCAAATTTACATTTCAAGCAATTGAGAAATCAGCACGACTGAATCAAAAAATATGGAAACAGAAGATTTCCTGACAGAATTTTGAAACCTTCAAGGAAAATTCAACTGCCTGCAAAGTGAAGCAAAGGAGAGCAAAAGAACAAAGTCCAAATAGAAGAGAGAAAACATGCCGGCAAGTGATCAAATGCTTCACAAAAACTATAAAGGTGTCTATTATCTCACCAAGTCATTGTGCTGTCAAATGCCAAATACTAGCACAGAACAAAGTTTTAGTTTTCATTGTCTTAACATAAATAGACAATATCTGTTAAAAATAGTGGTGAATTTACAACACCATTCATAGAAGAAAATCAAAATTGCAGAAATGGAGATATAAATTCAACATTGGGCAAAGCCGAAATCCATCATTATTAATTTATTACCATCCTAAGAAACGAACAGACTATAAATTAGTTATCTTACCAAGATTGTTCTTATATAATATTTAAAATTCCATGAATCTAAACAAACAATGATTTCCTCCCCCTAAGACAAGCCGGCAATGTGGATCTTTTTGAAGCTTGCGTAGGCTGATGTACGGGCAATGTGCATCTTCTCAATGTGCCATCGGAGACTGACATAAAATCTAGTAGTAAGAAACCACCAACAATAGCATCAACAAACAGAAAACAAAAACAAACAAAATCATCACTGTTCCCATCATCACCATGCAAACCATGAGAACCAAATTTACAAGGCAAAAAAATAACAAATTCACAAAATTTGTAAGGCAAAAGAGAAGACCATATTCCACTTTATCCTAATATCCACGTCCTCCCCCCCTTCTTTAAGCTTGAATCTTCAAATACTATTGTAATATTATAAAACCAAATTATAGTATCACTAAGGTCACTTTAAATGAATGAAAAAGAAATTTAACGTCCCCAAATGCTTGAATCACTTAATAGAAGATTTTGAAATACAATAAAACAATATACCTTGCACATGACTCATGGACCCATTTATCTAAAGATTAATAGAAAGTCACAAAGGTAAAACACACATTTATGCATCAGTGAGCCATAAACCAAACTAGTTATAAGATTTCTTTTGCTGTTCAGAACTGAAAGATTAGGTTTTGAGTAGTTACCTTTGCTTTTATCTTTCCTAGTTCTGCCCACAGTTTTTGACAAAGGAATGACGAGCCAACAGCTTCCGGCAGGGTGTTCGATGATCATCCTGCAGATAACACATGTCAGAAAACATGTCAAAAGACCTATAAGAATCCTTCAACTTCTTAAGTCATTACCTAAAAGAGTCTAAAAGAAAGCTTTTCCTTTTTCCTTCAGTTATAATTAGAGGATGGGGTTGGGGAAGGAGAATTTGTCACACTACACTGCAAGATATTCCATAACTTTTTCGGCTAAAATAAGATCTTCCAAGTTCCAATATTACATTTCTGACTCAGAAGAATCCAATGTATAAGTTGATTGTTCTCTTGTCAGCATAGGCAACAGAGACCCAACAATAAACTAAATAATAGAAACTATTCTTTATTTTTGGATAAAAAGAAAAAAAAAAAGAAATTATTATCTAGTATTTAACATAGGTTACTTAACAAATCTTCTGAAAAAATAATAAAAATATGTTTAGGTACATATAAGATGCTAATAGTGTGGACTCAAATTATACAAGCTCTTACCGTTTATGGCTCAAGATGCTAAATTTTATTGTAGCATGAGACATTTGTGCTTTTGGTTAAAGATTGTAAAGTTACCAAAAAGGACTATACAAACACCATTTTTAAAATAACAGTGCCCATATGACACTGGGGTTAACTTGCCTACTTCAGAATTTGGAGATAACCTATATATTACACCTAGTTTCTTAACTATCACACCAAGATTTGTTTGAATCATACAATCAAGTACATATTATTCAATAATTGAATGATGATATCAAAGAGATTACAAAAGGTACTTATTGAGTGCCAAGCAAATCTTTCACAAGTATGACAAGACTTGGAAATACTAAGACTAATAAGAGGAAATACTAATGCTAATAAATATTAGTAAGAGTACTACTTAATATAAATACTAATACAAATAGAATAATTAAATATTAATAAGAATAAAATCCTAAAGTTACTAAATAGCATAATCTATAACTAATCTATTCCACATCATTCTTCCCTGATTAGAGAAAACTCGACCACAAGTCTCCAAATGGTGAATAATGTAAAACATTGATCTTCAAGCTCCTTAATGAAAGTTTAACAAGCATTATGCACGATCATTCTCTCTAGCACCAAACATAATAGAAACACATATTGTTTAGAAATGTAAAATTTTGATAGTATGATGAAATCAAAATATTGGTAAATTTGTGCTTCAACTTCATCCTTGAGTTGAATTACTAGACCAAATTATTGGCTTAGGTTCCTCCTTGCATTGAACTTCCATTTGATTCTTCTTCAATAGTGAAAGGTCTTGAGTAACCTCAAAATCTACACTCTTAGGAAGACATGACAGTTCTCATTTCTCAACTTCAACGGTCTCATTCTCTTTATCTTTTCATTGATTGTGGGTGCTTTTAGGCATCTTTATTTACTCATCCCTTCTATTTCATAGGTAAAAGCACATCCTTTTTATCAAGCATAAATTATAATTATCTAGTCTCATCATACTAGACATGTTGATCATGAAATCAAGGTCGACCAAGAAGGATATTAGTCGCTTTCATGGGAACAACTTACAACAATAGGAAGAGAAAGCATTATTGAGTTACTGAAATTGTTGTCATCAAAGTAAGCTATCTTGTATGGTTGTGGATGTGATCTATAGGAAGTTCCAGATGCTCTATGGTTGAGCCAGACACAAAGTTTATGCAATTTCCATCTTTTGATGATAAGCCTTTTGGCTTTAGGCACACAAATGACAAGGGTTTGGTATATTACATCCTTTTAAGAGTAAAAAAATTATGTATTCAACAGCATCAAGGGAGTGCAACCCATATATAAAAGAATGTACAATCAGTCAAAATACCTATCAAGTTCCTGAAGTCAGTACCAGAACATAGCGAATAACCTCTAATCAAATAACTCAATGTTTGAAACCAAGTGTCTTTAAACCTAACAAAATCAAATTCAATCCCCTCAAAGCCTTTATGTTTGTTTCTTTCCACATGACCCAAAAAGTGGCGAAAGGTATGTATCCTATTATTCTCTCGTAAGCCTCCCCAAGCATAGAGTTCCCTGTTGACTAAACACGCTATTATCCATGACAACCCCAAAAGTCCATAAGCCAACTTCAGAGCCTATGCGCAAATGGATACCACAAGTGCAAGATTATTCTCCACTCTTACAAAGATAACAACCTTTCACGAGAATTTTACCCTCTCTTAATCAACTTGTCCAGAGTAAGAATGCAGTTCATGCTGTCTCCAAAGTGAACAAAGCCACTTTCGGAATAGCTTTTCCCTTCTGAGTCTGTCTGGATGGGAAACTCTTCCCCCCTTCATCTCCACAAAGCTCAAGTGCCCATAAAAAGATTTCCCCCAAAAGTTACCCGACGAGTTCAGCTTCCCTACTGTATGATCCGCTTTCATCAATGAAA